TCTTAAAAGATCAAAAATTGTAAACAGGAGCACAGTTGTTGGGAAAGCAATTTTCTGTACTGAGAACTCCTCAAAAGGAGATACCTAAGGACCAAATCGTCCTTTGTTGATTAACTGGTAATTGGCCGATTAAAGGTCGTAATTAGAGTGTTTCAACTACCAACCGAGATATAGGGCATTTTTCAATTTTTGCCCATTTTTCACACGTTACCAAATTTAATTATAATCTAATATTTTAGGAATATTTTAGAAGGTTTGTTATTAGCGATATCGTCGCAATTTAGTATTGAACCGAAAAAAGTGTTACTAATGAGTAGGTACAAGAAGCACCACGTCTGGGCGTTAACTACTTGTACTTATCCAAATATCTGGTCTTCGATAAACATGGATGAATTCTCGTCATTTGATGCTAACGGACTTTCTGCCGCGTGTTTTAACTTACTAACCAGGTTCAGTGCGCTTGCGACTTGCTGACTTATTTTTATATGTCTTGCAAAGATTCAGGTCCTCTTTCTAAACGGCCAAGGTTGGGATCGCGAAATTTAATTCTGTGTAAGTGGAGGGTGTTTTTTTTTTTCGTATTTTTTGGTAGTGAAACCATCCTTAGAAAACGGACCGATAAGTGAGTTATTTTCTCGCCTAAAACTGTAATGCAATTATGGCCGGCGGAGCTTAGAACTCTACCAGAGGTATGGGGTTGTGGTCTCAAACATTTTATACGAAATTATTCCTTTTTCCATTTCTTTTATCAAAATTTAGAACCCATTTCTTCTGCAAGTATTGTTGGCGGATCATAATGGATTTGCTCTATTTGGAAAACGAATCAATGAATACTTTCTTTATGGTCTTAAAATATGTTTTCTACATGTCGGCAGTTCTGCACGACCCTGGCAACATCGTGCGTAATTTCTGCAAGATGTCCCGACAGCAAACGTCAATATTTAAAGCTCTATATTCGCATTTATATTTATTTATACTATGTATATTGATATTGTTCACGATTTTTAATTATTGCCCTGTATAAGGAAATATTATTATTGAATTCGAATTCTTACGGCTTATTCTTTAATATACAAGATGTGAAAAATTATCTTTAACGCACAAACCTCTAAACATATTTGAATAAAACTGAGCAAGTTTGCAACTTTGAATGCATTATTACATGGATTGAAATTTAGTCTGGAATCATCTTCATGGATAAGAAGCATAACCTTGCCCGAAATGTTTAGGTCTTGATTTTTTTCACTAACAAGTTAGTTTTATTTGTTTTAAGAAGATGAACCAATACCAAACGTCAGAAGTTGACTGATTGTTGGAAATTTTGTTCTGTACCACCTTTATAGGTTTAGAAACTATGTCATTGACCGGTATCAAGTACCACATACTTAAAAGCGAAGAAGTTGTAGACGGCAGTTTATGAAAACTATGTGTAGAATATTATTACAAACACTCTTTATATAGTTTTATATAAAATATAGGTACTGTGTTTTGTCCAGGAGGAAGGGTTTATGAAGTTTCTCTGATACACTGACCCATTTGAGATGAACTTTCAAATTACAATTATGTTTTTCTCACTAGATTTCTACATCTATATATAGATATCGAAATTATAACAAATTTCAGATATAATGAAATATCTTCAAACATTTATTCTAATCTAATAAGAAATTTAAAAAAACTTTAGCCTAGCCATGAATATACTTTTTATCGAATATTTTAAATAAAAGTTTTATTACATTTAGTAGTTACCTATGGTATTTAAAAATGCCAGACATTTTCAATATGTTCTCTCGCATTTTTATTAAAACTTGAGTCTCCCTTAAATTGACAGTAACTACCTAACTCAACCTCTTTTGTGAACAGGGTCACAATTTTAAAGGTCATACTTTATTTGATATTATTGGATTGTTATTATTAAATAGTTGGAAACAAAGTAAAATTAAATGAAAATGAAGCGTTACAAAGTATATTCCGTCTATCAGAGATAAATAAAATAACCATTTTTTTTTAAGAAACATCCTCTTTTTAAATGTTGTTCTGAATTCGTATTGAAATTTTTCAACTTTTTTTTTTCATGAATAAATATGGTCCAATGAGTTTAAAGTATTTTATTCACCTTAAGCAACTAGTGGTTTTAGTTTTGTAGTTCCCGTAGCCAGAATGGATCAAATGTTGGATAATTTTGCAAAGTAACTTCAGCCGAAAATATTATTTTAACAACAATATATATATATATATATATATATATATATATATATATATATATATATATATATTCCGGGATATCATCCGTTCGCTCGTTGAACTCCGACTGGAATCCTGCAAATCCTGCATCCGACTGGAATCCTGCAGACGTTTCGCCAAAATCTCACTTGGCATCTTCAATGCTCGCGCTCCGAAAACACTTCGAACACTCAATAGTTGCTTAAAATACTTTAAACTCATTGGACCATATTTATTCGTGAACCACTTAACTGACCTAGATATTTAAACTTTTTGCAGCAACTTCTTCAAGAAGTTGGTAACATTGAGATGTATCACATTGGGTTCATTACCATCGAGAAGTTCGAGAATTTTTAAATAATTATTAGCCTCAGAAATGGAACGGTAGGGATAGATTTATTTTTGTGGGGATATGTTAAAATTTGTGTTTATGTGGATCCCCCTAGAGCACCAAAAGATATGGAAAATAGAATTCCGGACACGTGCAGGAGAAACCGTTTATGCTAAGGAACAAGAAAATATACGAAAAAGCCTAAATATGTGTATCCAAGTAGAAGGGCATATTTTTCAACATTTATTGCGTGACAGTAATAATTAAAAACAATATACGTTAATTTCTAGTAATACGTATGTAATATTATTTACTTTTTCTGTGAATTTAAAATGTAGCTGTTATTTTTACCAAAATTTCTAATAACTATCTGTTGCTTTAGGTATCGAAAAAAGTTCTTTCTCCTATTAATTTTTTAATCTTAACAGAATTTTGACATTGCCAACTAATATATAGCAATTTTTCAATTTAAAATGATTGAAATATATTCGTTTATTTTGAACACTGAGTTGAACAGCCTCTAGTATCTATTCCAATACCGTTGCATATATCTTTTAGGCCATCTTCGAAAAACGCTAATACAAAATATGAACTTCTTTGCACGTGGGAAATTAGTATTTTTAAAAAAAAATTAAAATATTGGAAAAACTATTACGTTTAGGTATGTATTATTACTAATAAAAAAGTTGAAAAATTTCAATACGAATTCAAAACAAAATTTAAAAAGAGGAAGTTTCTTAAAAAAAAATGTTTATTTTATTCGTCCCTGATAGACGGAATATACTTTGTAACGCTTCATTTTCATTTAATTTTACTTCGTTTCCAACTATTTAATAATAACAATCTAATAATATCTAATAAAGTATGACCTTTAAAATTGTGACCCTGTTCACAAAAGAGGTTTAGTTAGGTATTTACTGTCAATTTAAAGGAGACTCAAGTTTTAATAAAAATGCGAGAGAACATATTGAAAATGTCTGGCATTTTTAAATACCATAGGTAACTACTAAATGTAATAAAACTTTTATTTAAAATATTCGATTCAGCATTGCATACTGGCTAATATTTTAGACCGATAGAGCACCTCCTCTGTATAATTTAAAGTAAACCCGGTTATCCGTTCGCCAGATACTGCTAATAGGCTATGGCCATCACTGTGCCTAGTATATAATATTTTTTTTTTGGCTTCGTGTATAGACTGAGGATACTTGTTAAATGTTGTAATTTCTAATAATATTAATGTAATCTATAGAAATGACGATAAAACTGTATGTTTGAGAACAATAAAATAAAAAATGTATTCCACTCATGCCTACACAAACTCGTGATTAAACCGTCATTTATAAAACTTGTTGCATAATATAGTATTAAAGACGCTTCTTTTAATTTTGGTTTAAACACCACCCCAGTTAAAACGGTTGTTAATGTTAGAGCCCGAATCAGCAGCATCCATAAAGTGTGAGGGGAACTCATCACTGCCAGCTATAAAATGTCCATCTTATACCATGTTAACAATTTACATAATTTATCTGACACTTGAAAATACCATACGCAATAAAACTTTTATTTCAAATTCTGTGAGAATGTGAAAACCATTAAGACGCGCTAATATCATCCGATGGGTTAAAACATGTGGTCTTTTTAGGTTAATAAAGTTTTATGATAAATCTTTATAAAACAGGTATTTATTTTAACCAAAGATTCCAAAAAATGCGAAAATTTACAGGGGCTTCCATTAAAAAACATACCGCCTGGATTATATGAAGGTAATTTGAAAAAGTAACCACCGCATATTCCAAAATAACACTTTTTTGAAAAACCACGAATTTTTGTGACATCGTGAACAACCCTACATAGTATAAAATATTTATCTAAGGTTGTATAGTTTGGGTTAGTTTTTTTTTCAATGTTTTTGTAATTATCTAGGGTTTCTGCTAGGGATATTTGGGAAATTATCCATGAATCGCCCTGACGATTTGAGTTTTTTTGCGGTACGGTTTGCACAGTCATATTGCAAGTTCTAAGGATGGTGTGTTTATCACTGTGGACGTTACTAACGCGATGATACTGGCTAACTTTCAGAACGCTAAAACCGCATACAGCTCCCCCCAGAAAACGTAATATATTTTTTTTAATAGCGCTTTATTTTTGATTTTTTAACGTTGTAATTTGTAAGTCGAGAATTTGGCCGACCATTACGCCATTACGACGGAGACATGCCTGTTTTTTGCGGTTTGTGACTCACATAGTATATGTGGCTTGAATTAATTCCGTTTCTTGAACTTATTATTAAAAATTTGTCCACTTAATTACGAAGGTGAAACATATTCAATATATTATTAATAACTTCTAAGCTTAAGATAAATTTTCTAATTGTAAGTGACGACTTTTTTACTAATGTTTGTTATGTGCTTTATATTATGCATGCTCGTTTATTGCACGTTAGATATGGATGCTATGCACCAGGACATAGAAAAATGGGTCGAAACTACAATTAACAGGGAAATGTTCCCCGAGAAAGGATCAACAGGTATGTATATATTCTATACCTGTCAACTTTGATTATTTTGTTTCTACAAATAATTCCAAATTTAATTCACCTACGATATATAGATTTTAACTTCAACTATTTTCTTAGTAAGTTAATTTCTATAAAACTTGGTAATGGCTTACTATTTACAAATATTCTGGATTCCTTCTACGTTACAGTTTTTTTGAAAAATAAGCCATAGTTTCGTCTTAATTTTGGTAGGTATACTCGCGGATATCGTGATTTAATAGTTTAATGCGAAAATTTCCTAATCACATGTAGAGTACTTAAAGGCAGGTTCAATTTTGCAATGCCATTGTGAGTCAAAATTTTGTAAATCGAAACACATTTATTATGAGAATAATTAGCCAAAAAAAGCGCTAGGTTGCCATAAGAAATGTGTTACATTTGATTTAGATACTTGCCAAAGCATTATGATTTATTATTTTTGTTTAGTTATTTGGATGAGAACAATACCACTCTATTTAAGTATAGGAACAAATCTATAGAAATTGATATGAGATAATTTCCACTTTAAAATAGGGTCGAGTTTAAAAAAATTGTAATCTAGGGTTAAAAATGTGTTTGGTAAAAATGTCCTTTGGTAAGAGAAGACATGTTTTCAAGTCATAAATTAATTTCAAAAAAAAATTATTGTTAAACATGACTTTAAAATAAGAAAGTTTGGTCTTACTAAGTAGGTACATCCAAGGATCAATCGATCGATCGATATTAGTTTAATGAGAAAATTCCCAAATCACATGCAGGGTGCTCAAAGTCAGATGATTTATTCTTTTCATGCAGAATACAAAAGATGCAAAATACGTTTTGTATGACAGTATGACAGAGTATCTCGTAAAACTATTCCACCTAGGTAATTTTGTGTAAAATCTTTTAAAGTAAAGACCAGAACTAAAATCAAATCTGTTTCAATTTGTATCCCATAAGTGCAAAATTTTGGTTAGTCTAAAAGTTGGGTTATTTAAAAAACAGACCAGCCTGTAGAACCTTATAGTATAAGTTGTACTTTATTAATTGACGTCTACTGAATTAGTTTTTTATTTGTTTAAATATCTAGATGCATATTTTACTTTATTTGTGATTGAGTTTAAATAGCAACTGGCTAAATTTCGCCATGGGATTAACATATATTTCTGGATTAATTATACCCTTACATATTAGCGTCTATAATGATGGGATTGGTTCATTCTTTTTTTATTATTATTAAATTGAAGATATTTTTTTAAACACCCAGATAAATCCTGATATCCTAATTGGAAATGATAAGTTACGATAATTTTAATTCAAATTTATTCAAATTTTATAAAGTTCAAGAAATTTCCAAAATTTCGATGAACCATTCGGGAGTATAAGAGAAGCTTGCCTAGGAGGTGTTTAAAAATAATTGAAAGCAATGGATACCCAACTAAATACTAGATATTAGATTGAGAGAAAGTCTTATGTATTGTTAGAAAATGTTGACTAAAAATACGTTTGCAATTAGCATATAAAATCACTTCACATTCTAAATTGAAAGCAAATTTAGAATATTGCGACTTTTAACAAGATTTGCCAACCCTGCTGTCATGACCAAAACAATACTAAATACTTCTAAGAGGCCAAAGAGTTTGGAAAATAAAGCTTGAGTTGTTTCTGTTTCTGATTAAAAGAACGTCTTGAGATTGTAACACTTGTCCGTATTAATACGAAAAGTTTTTTTGGTTTTTCGAAATCCGTAAATAATCAAACAAAATTCGATGAGCCCGGCACCTAGACGGACGATACGGGAAACTTTTTCAATAAAGTTCGCCTTTTACAATAATTAAAAAACTTTGTCGGCCGTAGTTCTATATATAAGTAAGTTGGCATGTTCGTTTTTCTTTTGTGGTTGCTGGTATTTTTGCATGTTTTAGAAGGGTCTCAGCTGGTGGCCTATCAGCGGCTCGAGTCTTGCGACGACGGTAAGATTTTTCAGAAACAGGAAATCTTGAAAATTTTCTTTTAAAATACGAACATAATCGGTCTCAAAATAAATTGCGAAGCAGTTAGTAAAAGGGGGTAATCTCAGTTGATTTTTTTGTATGAAATTATTTTAATATTTCGTTTTTTTTAGATATGTTGTCACATTACCGACAGACCGTTGCTTGCCTCTTTTTGATTCGTTTCAAGGAAAAACTGTTGTCCAATTATAAATAATAAATATAAATTTTATCGAAATAAATGTCACTGTTTTCATCGTTCTTGCTATTATTCGGTTAACAGAAAAAAAAAACATGCAAATTTTACAACTTCAAACAGTGAATCCACATATTTGCCGAAGTGGTCCGAGCATCTTTCAATTCAATCAATTTACGCAATGTTAAATTCCATGTTTTATCTCGAACTTTAAAATGTCGCGTTTCAACTCGCTTTTTTACAGGTACTTACAGGTACATACCTCGATAAATAGTATTACTATGTTTTACCTAGGATTTTTAAGAAACTACGAATTATACACGGTGTATCCAATTAAGTTCGCTCTATTACCATCTCTTTTATTGTTAGAGGTAAGAAATCTGTTAAATTAGCAAAGTAATCGCATTTTGACGTTGGGGACATAAAAATTCCTGTGCAATATGTACTGGCGTTTATGCTTTCCCAATTTAGTAATAAAGTTAAAGATCATCTTCTTTCTAGAATGAATTACTTATTTACCCTGGTTACTTTATATTGTAAAAACACTCCCTATTTGCTTACCTCATTTACGATACGATAATGAAGCCCATTCCTTTTTTTCTTTTTCCCTCTACATTTCAGTTGTGATTGCCGTATGCCATGTTATCACTATTAGTTACTTTCTGAGTTGCACAAAGAGAGCTTTGTACAACACTTTACGGAATAAATTATCTATGTAAATTTAAAATTATGAAGATTATAAAATGTGCAGAAACAATAGCAGAACATATTTGAATATTTAATCCGGTTTGTTGTAAAACGGGGTTTTATTTCTAGGTGGTTTTATTTCGTAGACACATAGAGTTAAGAATATAAATAAATAGTTTTTTTCTGTTTTATTCGGAAATGAGATATTAAATTGAAAATATTTCTACTTTGCTAATTTACCCGAATTGATATCTGTAATAATGAAAAGTTAGCAATACTGCCTACTTAATTTCATACGGTCGGTCTAATTGTTTAAACCGGATATCGGTTTGCACAATCTTTAGTGTTTTAAGCATTTTTCCAATTTTAATTTTATTATTCTATGTAATTTAACTAAATAATAAATCAAAATAAATAAGAACTAAAAGTTCAGATTTTCACGAAATTATATATTTTGACACCACAATTGTTTCGACAACACCGTGTCTTTATCAAATGTTGATAAACAATTGTTGTCGAAACAATTGTCATGTCAAAATATATAATTTCGTGGAAATCTGAACTTTTAGTTCTTATTTATTTTGATAAATGGATTTTCATCAAGTAAAAGCCTCCTCAGTTCAATAAATAATAAATAATCTGGGAATTCGCTTCCAGTAATTTTAAGTCTTTTTGAACATTCCGACAATAAGTGTACAGTAAATATAATTGCTACGATTTGCGATGGCATAGTCTGAAATAAAACCGAGAGATAAGGTGCCTCAATATTTTAGCTGCTTCCTCTTGAAGAATAGCAACCCCCCTCCCATTTACCTGCAATTACCTAGCTTTGTCTATTACAGTGGTTTCCACTACAAAACACCCTTGCACTTTTGAAAAACTGCTGCCGAAGCTCCAAAGTTCGTCTTTAATTAATGTACTAAAATATGAGTTGTTCAAAATTGTCAAAATTTACAAAACAAACTTGCCGTATGCTACGGACGAAATAATTACTGACTGGATCATCTAGCTTTGAGATTGCCTCCTTACCATTGAATATTTAATGCCATAGAATTGGTGTGGGCCAGTTACCCAAGAAAATTTTTGTCAGTTGTATAACAAATGCAGTAAATATGATAAAAGAATACTGCGAAACACAGAGTACACTTGTATAACGGTACAACCACTTTTTATTAATGTAGAAGGGTCGTTTTCTGGTAGTAGCAGTTATAATTGTGGCCCTGATAATGAAGATGTTTCATTGTAAGTACAAACCTAATATGATTTACTTATATATTTACTTTTGACAAATTATAGTTTATATATTGTGATATATTTTTGGTATTGTTTTAATTTTTATTGAATGGTCAGAGCTTTCGAACAATGGTTAACAAATTTTCACACTTTTTTCACGTAGATTCACTTAAATATTCGCATATCATTAAGGAACACCCTGATCTGTTATTTAGTTAAATTATGTTGAAGTATAACTGGAAACAAGATCTGTCGGGCATTTTATTGCCGACTAAGCCACACAAACCGTACCGGCCATAGTAAATAAGTCCACTAGCAAATAATGCACAGATAATTCAAATTTCAAACTTTGTTTTTCGGTCCACTTTGAATTGCTGAACTTCTCTTTTCTACTTTTTCTACGTGTTTCTGTTCTATTCATGGGCAAATGCGCTCTGTCGGTAAATGTTGCGCACGCCTTTCGCTATATTAACTAACAATTGCTTGTTTGCATAGAAATACGGATTGTCTGCCCGGAAAAGCCATTTTCGCAGTTATCTACAAATTCTCAATTGTCAGGTATGGTTCAAACGGAAATTGGGTTTGTTTATATTTAGGAGGTTGCGAATCAGTAATCACGTATACGTGTATATCTAACTATCTGAGTTTTATAGTAGTTACAGCTAGTAGGTACATAGAATAGTTTATAACGCGTGTTTTAATTTATTAGTCAAATGTGTTTCAATTGATGTGGAAGATTTCTTCCAAAATATTTATCGTTTATTTTTATTAGTTGTGAATTTTTACCAAAAATTCGATTTGACATGCCCAAGGAGGTGAAAAATTTGGTAGAAATGCAAAACTATATAACAATACGACGCTAGCGAAACAATTGTTAATATTGCGATCCATTTCGAATTAATAACATAACTTTATGTATAAACGCGACACACATTTTTTTCGCTTATTTTTGTATTTTAAAAGTTTGTACATGGGAGTTTGTGCATGTCAATTTTTGGATACACGGTATTGTGTATTTTTGTTTCACGTATAAACCAGTGGTACTTGGTATTACTTTGTAGTTACTTTATTTTTGGTCATTGTTTGGTGGTTGTTGGACTAACGTGGTGACGTTTTTCCGGACGTAATTAAGTGCTGTTCGTTTCACAGCTCGGCGTCAGGAAATCATCAAGATGACAGAGCAGCTCATCGAAGCGATCAATACCGGAGATTTCGAAGCGTACACGTAAGTATCCGATTAAAATTGATAGAAAGTCAAACACTACTGATCCCGACGTAACCCTCTGCCGGGATCCCCAAGTAACTTCCCCTAAATAGTAATAACACTTAAACCGAAATACCTTAACTAAAATAAGAAGACTATGACTTAAGGTATCAAAGGCCTTACTATAATCCAACACAATCAAACAAATATTTCTTGACACATCAGGTCATCAGTGACGTTAAGTAGTGCTATGGTCGTACTGTGTCAGGGCCTAAACCCAGGTTGGGAGGCATGCCAAATATTTGAAGCAACAGCATGATTATTAAGTTGATCATATAATCCTCTCCGATATTTTAGAAATTACATAGTAAGCTAATAGGGCGAAAATGTGAGATTTCAGATGGTGAAGTTATCTTATGAATAGGTATTATATTACTCTCTTTCCACAAGGAGGGAAATTTGCAGGTAATAATACATTGGTTAACAATAAAGGTCATCAATGGTGTCAGGTGAGAAGAAAAGAAAGAAAGATTGAGTTAAATCTGGGAATTGCTCACTCCACATACTCCTTTGTTACAGTTGCAATATTAAGCCGGCTAGTAATTTCGTCATAAGCACCACCCAAATACAACTCCGAAAACATATTGTTATTAGCCTCTTGTTTACCAGCAGCAGGCGGAACACTTCCTTTAAAAATCTATTTCTGCGAGCCACAGGAAAAAGGTTTCGCAAGGATTTATATTCATTTTTACTGAAACATCATTTTTTTAAATCCATTTCCGAATTCTGTGTTAAATTTCACGCATAAATAATAAAAAACAGAAATTAAAATAACAGGTAAGTACTTTAGTTGTTTCTGTCAGTAACGAAAGTGAATTTGGAAATTTAATTTTTATAGAATATGGAGAAAAAACGAGAACTCAAGAAGTGTGTAGTTTGTTTAACGGAAAATATCCGAAAAGACCCATTACAAGATCCACACTGAGAAAAATTGACAGAACATTTATGGAAACAAAGCATGACCACGACGTTATCGCTAATTTTCTTAAATTATCCCATTCTGTCAAAACCTCATCTGCTTGTAAAATTCTTCGTAAATCTAGTTTTAGCTTTACTACGAGAAATAATTCATCACCCCTTAAAGAAATCAATAAGACTCTTCTGTCTTTGTCTTTCAAACCTGTTTCATGACAAACCTGAAAATCTTTATTTATTTATCTTCTACTCAGAATCACGTTCAAAACTTTGAAAAACTTATATTAACACTAGTGAAACCATCACACTTTTCTCAACTATCAAACACTGTATTAAATGTATCATCGCACCAACTTTCTGAGACGGAAAAATCAGTTCTTGCAAAAAGGTTCCAACTTCGACTTTGCCTCACGTATTATCCCAAAAAGTAAATCATTTCAAATGCGAGTGTATTCTAAACAAACTACCATCTCAAACAGCTAATGAAATTCGATTTCAAACTGTAAAAATCCTTTAAAAATCCAAACCACGTAATCTAATATATGAAAGCCTAAAATCTAATCCCGACATCGTAATTCTCAAAAGCTAATACAGGGACTGCTCATGAGAAAGTGTTCATGAACACAAGTGAATATCGGGAAAAAATTGAAAATATTCTTACAGATGCATCAGATCGTCAATTTAAAAAAGATCCTACGTCATCTATGGAACGCAACCTTATCCCTGTTATGAAGGCTTCTTCTCTATCAGAATCAGAAGTCTGCCACCTCTTATGATTCTAAAATTCCTCGTTTCTACGGACTCCATAATATTCACAAACCAGGATAAACCTTTCAACCTATTGTTAGCACCATTGATTTTCCTAGCATTCTCTAGCAAAATATCTAGCTTCTATATTAAAACTCTTTGGTAGGAAAATTGATAGTTTAGAACTTAATTCTTTTCATTTCATTGAACAATTAAAAATGCTTGTCTGGAGCATGTTTTTATTAGAATGGTAAAATTTTTGAACAAACCCCGGGAACAGCTATGGGTTCTCTACTATCACCAGTCCTCGGGAATATATTTATTTATGAAAGCCTTTGAGAGAAAAACCTTCGACATCTTTCTTCCAAAACCAAAATTATGGAAACACTACGTTGATCATACATGTGTGATTTGTTTCCATGGCAAAGAATCTTTTCGAGATTTTCTTAGCCATTTAAAGTCTATACACCCTAACATACGTTTTACCATTGAATTGGAAACTAATACTAGAAAAAAATAGAAAATCAGAGCTAACATTGGGTCATTCTGTTTACAGAGATCCCACGCACTAATCCACATTCAAAACATCACTGACCACATATCAACAGTTCTTGACAAATATAACGTCAAAACCAGATTTACCACTTGTCCAAAAATCTCTCAACATATTCGATCCGTGCGAGGCAAAATTCAGTTTGAGGTACTAGGGGTTTACAGCATTCTATCCATGCGCTGCAAAGAATACATTGGAGACACCGGACGAAAAATATTAACTAGGCTCAAAGAACATGAAAGAGTCTTAAGACAAATAAATTCATCAGCAGTTGCTGAACACAATCACGAAAACGGACATCAAATTTTATTCCATAAAACTGAAATTCTTGCATGTAGTCAATTCTTCTACCAACGAAAAATTCGAGAATCTATTGAAATCTATAAGCAACCAAACAATCTTAACCGCGACTCAGGTCGCGATGTGGAAATCCGAGAATCTATTGAAATCTATAAGCAAACAATCTTAACCGCGACTCAGGTCGAGATGTGGAAATCAGTCACCCGAGTCGGTGTTTATGCCCCTCATGTAGCTCCGCCCCTTTCAAACAATATAAAAGCAGCTACAGAGTAAAATGCGAGACAGTTTCAATTAAGCTCTGAAGAAGCCAACAGGATGATTGGCGAAACGTCTGCAAGTTGAGTTCGTCAACAACCCACGCAGAAGGAATTTAGAAGCTTTATAAACAGTACCGTTGCATCTTGCATATCAGGCTGATTTGAATTTGGGAAAGAAATGGAGGTAGTAGGAATTAAGTCATTTTGAAGAAATTACAAATTTTGGGCTCCAGTAAGATTTTAATTGAAAAATAGAATCCCATAATTTTGTTATTCAAAATGTAATCTTGTACGAATGATTCTTTTTTTCTTTTAATAAACGCAAAGCTGTTCGGCTGTTGGCTAATATCGTTATATGAAACTACTGCAGAAGATGCACGTTGGGAATTATAATCAACTTCTAATAAAATGTTTAATCTTGTGATCTCATTAGCTTTGGATGACCTGACAGTAGACATGCTTTGTTTCTGCAAGTTTTCTCTTAGTTTTACGCTCACTATGGATCTTGTAATGGGACTTTCTATATATTTTGCTTTAAAAGAATTACAAATTTCTTTTTGAGTTCTCGTTTTGTCTCCATATTCACTAAAAATAAATTTCAATTCTCTGGGTTTTATTTAGTTACGCCATACACACTTTCTTTACTAACGGAAATATAATTGTGACAATTCAAGAACTTTACTGGCACTAGCTACTTGCCTGTTCCTTTCAAAATAAAATTTCTGTGTTTTAATCTTTTGCTCATAGAAAGTAAGCGTAAAAATTGATACAGGATTGGAAAATGGATTAAGAAAAATTGAATGAATAAAAAAATTAACTTGGTATTGACACCCTACCCTGTATATTTTCTATTCAATACTTGATTTTTAAATGAATTTGTTCCATATTTTAACCATTTACTGTATGTAGTCATTGTGTTGTGGGCTGGGCGTTAGTTTTTTCTTTTAATACAAATTAAGCACTTTCTTGAAAGAAAAACTCTGCACACAGTAGTTTGCGATGGTTGACCAGACGTTTACAGAGGAATAAAAAGTTTTTTTTAAGCTTGGATCCAAATTATCGAATCCGCTCCATCCAACTGAAATGTTTACGACGCAGCGTTGCCGCTTCTATCAATGGCATATGGCACAACATGGTTATGTGAAATATTTTGTTACATTTTTTGTTTCACTACTTTCTTCTGATTATTTATACTTTTTTTATTTATACTTATTTTCTTTTTTTCTCTTCAAAATGTGATACTGCTGCGGTTTAAAATTCTGATCTAATATACAAAAATGCTCAAAACTTTTTTTTGTATGTTATTTAAAATTCTTAAAGGGAAGTAATTATTTTGCGTCATTTTTTAAGAAAATATTAAAAGGAGTAAGTGAATAATACAAATATAAATACAGAAAATTATAAAGAAAATTTATTAATCGTCTAAAATTTTGAATAATCTACAAAAATAAAGTTTTAACCATTCATTTTAAACGAGTATAGTATATTAGACTTGTCTAGGAAAATTCGCAAATTGATTACCGTACTACCCAGGTATAGGGCAGAATAATATAATTACCAGAAACAGTGAATCTAAAAATGCAATAAAATATGGTGTGTGTCCTTATGTTACTGATCGAAGCTCTATTTTCACTTCTCAGTCACGGTGTTGTTGTCAATTTTTCAATCCGAATTATTTCACCTCATCTTAATCTGCGTCATATATATTTGTGATACTATATAAGGCGTCCCATTGAAAATAAAATAGGCAACGAATGAACGTCAAAATGAATGTGAACATATAATAAATGTAATACAATTAACAAATCTTCTTGACTTATCCCCCTGTTCGCTTCTTCAGAGCTTAACTAAGACTGGTTTGCACTCTACTCTGTTCCTGCTTGTATACTGCTTGAGGCCGTTGAAGCTCTGAAGAAGCAATAGGATAATTGTTGAAACGTCAGCATGGAATCTAGAAGATTTGTAAAAAGTATTGTGGAAGCTTCTGTGTAAAATTAATGAATACAGTGTTTTATTTGAAACTCCACCGAGTCTCTTACTTCACTAAGGTAACTATTGAACTATCTTTCTAAATAATACTAATCTCGTCTGAATACTTCATGTACTTTGCCATTTTACATTTTTGTCCAGGGTTTTTATGATACAGGGTTGTAATTAAATAAAAGCCATTTGTATTCGTATATCTCGCGGCTTTTCGCAAACCATAAAACTCATTTTTTAAAAAAATTCACTTGGCGCCTTTATTAAGCCATTTTGGCAGAAATACATTTTTAAGCTGTTGAATACTTAATATCTACTATATAAAAATAGCAATAAATATTAATACGATTATAAAACATACTTAGGCTTCGTTAACGACATTATTTTATCGTTTATTTATTTATTGTATTCTTACAGTTAATAGCCCTTTTCAGTTTTCTTATAGCTGGTTAATCCATTTAAAATTACAAGTATTTATATTATTTATTTCAGTTCCAAATACTTCTTTTATTATATTAATGTTTTCTTGCGTACTAAAATAAATTTTATTTTTAAAACGAAGCGTAAAGTCGACTGTTAGTTAGCCATATCTTTTTTCGTTTTTTCCGTGTCTAATAATCCCTTCTCTATATTTATTGCCCAATAATTTCGGCAACTTCATTCAGTGGCAATTACTCTTCTACAAATTGATATATATCACTTGATAATGCACCTTCATAAAATATAGACCCTACAATTTTGTTCCAGAACAGAATTCTGTATTTTGCTCTTGGTTGTAATATGACGCACGATGAAATTTAAAAATTTCAAAGTAGATCTTACCACCATAATATAAACAGACGTCTTATTCTTCATCCAGCTTTGGAATGGTTTGCCTTGTTCTTCTTTTTAAAATTTATTCCTGTGACATGATAAATAAATAATAATGCCTTTATACATTGTATAGGACAATTATTGTTAACATCACCGTGGATTTCCATATATTCGCGTCTTTCCGCAACTGCATTTTTATTATTTTTAAAATATAGATTGAAAATTTTAAGTTTTTTTGGGAAACACCATAATTAAACACTTTTTTCTCTCAGAATTGCTAAATTCAGACGACGAAACGATCCTAGTAATATTAAAACTTGATAATGTAAAAAATAACCATAATATTTTTAAAACCCTTGTTTAAAGAGCTCTGACATTAAGGTACAATAAACAGGGCTTTCCATAAGAAAAAAAATATGTTTTATCTGATACTTTTTTTGGATACTATTGTATATAAGGTGAAAAGTTAGAGGGGTATACATGTCACATCTACTATTTTAATTCCTCTTGGTCACCGAAAATGTCGAGTGGTCAATCAATCAATTTGATGCATAATATCTATGGGTGAATAATATTCGGCCAGAGTATTCACCAATGAAGCGACAAGTGAAAAGTGGAAGTTAATTTAAGGTTATTGTTAATTATAAATAATAAATATACCATATTCTATTTATACTACAAAAAGACATGGGTGGAATATGAAACTGTTAATAATATACCCAAGTAAATCTTCGAATAAAATCATTTGTACATGTGACAAATTTCCACTGCATTCATTTTTTTTATCTGGGGCTTACACGACTCAATATTTTATCAAAACTTTCTATTTCCATCCTCAAAAACGATTTAAAGTGATCAGAGTGGTTTTTTAACTAACCAAAACTAAGAAAATTTCACCCCGCTTTATTGTTAATTTCTACCTGAGGACTGACCCATATGTTTTCTTTTCTGTTTCTTATTCCTGTATAATCATATTTTTCTTTACAAACGAGTAAGGCTTTAACATTTCAATTAACTGAAAATTATTGTGAATAAATGGAATTCTAAAACATCAAAACAGTTAGACATGACTATTTCTCAGTTTATATTTCGACAAAAATTTCATCGTTGATTAATTTATTGTCAGTGTAAACCTAGTATTAGAACTGCAATTAGTCTACACGTGATACAAATGCCATCTCTAAAGAGTGTTACCTGTGAAGTTTTATCAAACCATTTTTAGGAAGATATGCGATCCTCATCTAACAGCCTTCGAGCCGGAAGCGATGGGAAATCTAGTCGAGGGTATGGACTTTCACAAATTCTACTTCGACAACGGTAAGACTTGTTCGTAAATTTACCGCGAAGACTTAATTACTTTTGTTTTAGTCTTGGGCAAAAATTGCAAAGCGGTGAATACAACAATACTAAATCCGCACGTACATTTGTTGGGAGAAGACGCTGCCTGTATCGCTTACGTGAGGTTAACTCAGTATATGGACAAGTGAGTATACTTACCCAGTAACCACTGACGGAGTTTTGGTTAGTTTTGGTTAATTTGGGTTAGTCATGTTAGTTAGGTTTGTCACACATCGCAAAAAATACATTGTCCAGTGAATCTTATACAGGGTGTTATTGAAATGATATCAAATGGCAAAAATAGTCGTTATAACGGTTGCAGCCAGCCTGGTGTTCCGAAAATTTTCTCCAAAAATGTCGTATAAAATGCTTCTCGCTGTAAAAGATCCGTGATTAATTTTTTGCAAGACCATCGCTAATCAGCTAAATTCAAACCTCAACAAATAATTTGTTCCATTCGTAGTGTTAACACAATTTGGCCAGCGTTCCTGTAATGCGTCCAAATGCAGCAAATATAATTAAGCATGATTATTACTTTGTCTGCTAACACAACAAACACTTTCCTATTGATTTTTGATACAAATCAAGGTACATACTAATATAAATTCAACCCCTAAGAAATAATCCAATATATTACTAAGCAACAAATTGTGAAGGATAGGTTTACTACAGGGCAGCTACCCACATGGGCCTTAGCTTCTCCTCCAATACCGACGGGGGATCCATGTGATATCTACCTTATTCCTAATAATAATTTACATTCTCTTCTCAATTTCTTATGCCGACCGGATATCGGCGGTATAACTAAAAGAACTAGAATTGAGGAAAGTAATTCTAACTTCAACTACCTAACAATCTTATGCTCACAAACCCACTTTATTATGTCAGGAAAATCAAAAATTCTCCGAGCAGATATAATAGGTATCAGTTAATCCAGGTGGTCTAACTCCCGATCATGCAAGTGTAGCCCCATTATGTATAGCCCTTTCATTAATCACTAACAAAATACGTTAACAAAATGGTCCATAAACATTAACATTCTTCAGGTTTACACCTCTGCCGCTGATAAATCAAATGAAGTAGTTAAGCAGTTCTATAAATAAATCCGCGAAGTACTACGAAGTCTAAATGAGAGGCATAACTAAGATTGAGGGCGCTGCTTTCTACGCATCAACATCAATTCACATTTCGTCGAAGCCGGTCCTGCATTTTCAATTTCAAAACATCTGCTTTCTTACTTAAAGGTTAAGTGCTCGAAGAGTATAGGTCCCATTTTGAAATGTCCTATTTTGTACGAATTGCATTGTGGTAATAACAGAATTTATTAAAAGCAACGAGGGAGATTTATTCTTTTTAACTTCTGCTGAAAGGAAATATTGCACATACATCGGTAAATAAACTAGACAGCCCTTCGAAACCCAGTGCTCACCCGAAGAATAATCATTGGTGATTTTAACGCTAAAGTAGGGGCGGACTGCGATAGAAGAGAATAAGAGAATGCTGTGATGACGATGGGCTGGCTGGCATTAAATGCCATCATGTGAAAACAAGAATATCCAAGAAACTCGTCCGGTTGTGTCCAGGAGAGGGAGGTCTATTGCAAATGTAGAATGTACTAGTTTCTTAGAAATAATACTGGATCAAAAACTAACTTGGAAAAATCACATTAGTTTCGCAACTTCTAAATTGTTTTGTAATAAGAAATTTGATGGAAACGGTCTCAAGCGAATTTTTTTTATACTTCGGACTCGTATTGGGACATGTAAAACAAAATAACACAAACCTGTTCAATCATTCAACTATTCTCAAGATTATTTGTAAGTAAGGAAAGCCGACGAATTATATAGCTATTAAATGTTTTAATAAAATGTTAAGCCGTTAAATTTGAACCTCATGCTTTCTCAGTTTAAAGTAAATGTGAAGGAATTCCTTATTCAAAAATACTACTACTCGTGACAGATACTAAAGAAATAATTTATGCCTTATGTTTTTACTTTTTTTTGTGCTGTAAACTATACATTTACATTTGGATTATAACATTTACATTTTCTCTTTTTTTTATTGTCGTCCTCATAAATGTACAATATATTAATATATTTGTGCCGTTTGAAGTAGCTGTTACTATTTCTTTCATTATTTATTTTTTAGAGAAGCGTTGTTTATACACTTATACACTTATATCTTTTTGATTAAAACAACGAATAACTAAACTAGCTGGCATAAACTGTCAAGAAATAAGAATAGTGATGTTTCACATATCGGTAAATAAGCAATCGCCTTCTATAAAAAAATCAACCCCAAATATACAGGGTGTTTCAAAAAATGCACCAAATTTTATGGCATATTATCTTTCAAATTTCAAAAATATTTTTTATGTTCGGAAAAGGCAGTAACCTGACACTTTTTTCTTTAAAAATACTCCATACAAATCTACCACGAACGCGACTAGTAAATTTTTATGAAAATAGTTTCCATAAAAATGTTTTTTGTTGCTTGTTGCAGTGTAGCGAATGGATAGACTAGAATGGTAGACTGGTTTGATAATGATGATAAAAAAATAGTTTTTTCTTCTAAGGCTCAGTTCACGTCACTTTTTTCATATAATGATGAATGATAGTGGAATGATGATATAGGATTCAGAATTCCTCAGAATATTGTATGAGAAAAGTTTCTATAAATCAAGGTTCATAACATAACATATTTATCTAGTTTATTACTGGATGTTGTAAACTAACACAGAAATTTTATTTGTCAGTTTTGAAATCGTTATTTATGATTATGGTAACAATGGAGTATACTTATGGGTACCTACTATAATATCATACTGATTTTTCTATTAACTTAATAGTGGAAATTAAAAAAAAAAGAAATTTTAACCTTTTTATATGATCAAAATTTTAAGGAGGGCAGTAATTCTAATTTTTGCAATTAAGGCACGGCCAGGCACACACCCATCAGTCGGAGGAGAGCAGGGTGTGGCATAAGCGAGACAACAAGTGGCAAAACGTCCACTTCCACCGCAGCGGCGGTAACGGAGGCGCCGCGTTCGGATTTAGTTCACACAAATAGAACTGCCTAGAGCCGTAGATCTGTGGTCTTCGACCGGACCGCGTCTAGAGAAACCTACTGGAAAAAAAACTTCGTTTACTGTGAAAAAGTCTCTTCGTGATGTGTGACATTCATAATTTTCGATTTTGTATTTTTGCTTTTACGTTATCTTACACACGTACTATTTATGGATGATGATGTCTGTGTAACCTTACACACTTGTCGAATTAGCTGGAGGTTCTTTGTAAATGCCATTTAAAGCAAAGAGTTGCGTTAAAGCACAGAGTTGCTTTAAATGGGGCAAAAGACTTTCTTTAACTGTACTAGTCTCTCTGTTATAGCTAAGGTTGGTGATATAAATAATTACGTTGACATGTTTTAGTTGTGGCCAGTTCTGATGATGGTGTACTACCCTTTAAAAAAAATGATTTCTAATATAATGAACACCTACATAGATTATTTTTCATTGGGTTGATGGTGCCTTAAACAGTTACTTAACTCGATTGGTTAGAGTTTGTTTTATATAAATTTATCCAATTGCACCAAAATTTGGAAGAAAGTGAGATTTTTTAATCAATATATCCACAAAGACAAACCTTTTAATTTTGAGTTTACATTTAACTTCCTGGAGGTGTTCATTGTGAGAACTTTCCCCATTGTGTGATTTACCAAAAAGGGGTCGCTTATTATTATGCGATCAATTCAACCTTTCACCCTGTGGATATTTACTTTCAAAAACCAAGCGATCCTGTCAATTTTCGATATGACGATTTCAAATAGGCACTTTGGTGTGACAGTATCCCAAATAGTATGCTTGAAGCTATTGGAAATCCAACGAATTGCCCTTTCTGGGCAAATGGGCTATCCAGTGGGGCGGAGTCGCATGTCATTTTGGAATCCAGGCAGACTTTAATAATGAATGAAACGGAAGTATGGATTTTTCTTGGAACGTACATCCAATACATTACAACATACAATACATTCTTTTAAAATCTATAAAGCGTCTTTTAAGAAATATTGAAAAGATAAATATTAAAATGTTTAAACTGCACTGTACTTGTACTAACTACAAGCCGTTAATAATAACACAATAAGCGAACAAGATGACAGGACGAGAATTGTTTGGTTGGGCTGTCAAGGTTTAACCAAAGTATATGAATTTTAGTTTTTGGTTAGTAACGCTGCTTACTAACTCTAGACTGTACCATCACGAATTACCTGAACCTGTACTGTATAATTATAATTAAAATATAGAGCGATCAATTCAAATCAGCTATAACGTAATAGATCGTGACTATATCTGTCTGACTTTGTTTTAAAAATCCAACAAAAATAGGTTCTTAGAATACTTGAAATAAGTTTTTGGTATGGTTTGCTTGATTATTATCATTATATATATTTAAAGGATATCCAAAAGATATCAGCTACTGGATGTCCAGAAGTTGTACAAAAATTATACTCTATTTTTATTCATTTCCAATAGTTGACATGTACTTTCTGGGATTCAAACTATATTTTCGGTTCAATGTATTTTATTTCATGTCTGGTAGCTTATTTATTGCCACCATTGAACTCATAGGTCGTAACTTCTATTTTTAATGATTAAAAAAATATTTTTAATGATTACGAGTATCCTAAAAAATACGAAAACAAACACCAAAAAAAAACGAAGATTTCTTTAAAATCAAATATCGAGGTTTTTATTAAAATGTTATTAAATTACACAAAATGATTTTTACGTTCCTTATGTCATTGATTTGTCATTTTGAAAATGGTCTTTTTTTTGTTTTGTCTGTGTTTAAACTTAAAAATATTATGGCTAGTAGCGTTAATTGCAGGGCATCTAGTGTATTAATAAAATTCATTTCCAGTACAAACATCTTACATGGGATAATTGTCATAAAAATTCAATAAAATAAATAAATTTTTTGGGAACCTTCTAATCATTCAATCATTAATTAAAAAAAAAAAAACAGAAAGAACAAAAAAATCAGTGGTAGGATTATTCAAAAAATACTTATACATATTGAGGAAAATCTCTAACGGAAGGCTTGCGGTGCAAACGGACTGGTTATTACTTATTTTTGTATTATTATGTATTATTTTTGTATTAAGGGTGCAAAAATTGTTTATGAAATTTTTTGAAAATTATCCAGATTAAAAGAAAATTTGACAAAAACTTAGGTTACTAATAAACAAAACTTATTGATATCAACAAAAAAGCGAAATATTAAAAATGAAAATCAACGGGACGCAATATAATTTGTATTTTTTCAGTCTAGTGAATTCAGAACTTTTATGGGTTTGAATCTTCACTGAGCGCAACATATTATCACAACAGAATTTTTGTTGTTATTTCATACCGGCATTTTGATGAAATGGTACTTATAATTTAGAATGATATTCCACTTTTATTACATAAAATTAGTTAACTTTTTTGTAAAAGGTGTTTTTAAAAAATCTCTCCCAAAGAAGAAGCAAGGAAGCGATGAATGTAACAAATCTAAATTTTTAAAAATATATTATTAAAATATAAAAGAATTATTTGGATTCATTAAACTGATAGACATCGGAAGTTTCTACGATAAGCGAGTGGCCAATGGTTACGTTAATATTTTCAGACCACGTCAAATTATATAAGAACCTTATAAAACAATTGGCCAAAAGAGAGTGAAACTGATTTATTGCAACATGTCCAACCAGTTTAGTTAGTTTAGCGTTAGCTACAACATTTAACAATTTGTACATTACCACCGCTTTTTTTCCTCTTGGAAGCGATATATCCTTATGTTACTTGGTTAGAGTATAACTACGTTAAACACATTATGCAGTACTGCCTTATATTTATTAAGGTTTTTAGGGTGATAAGTAAGCTTTGTACTTGTTTTTGGATATGAAAAATCTTCATATGTGCCTCGACTCTGTTCACCCAATCGCAATTATTTACTCTTATAGAGTAGCTGTAAATGTCCGATTCGGTGTATAGGGGTCTAGGATTTTTTCAATTTTCTGCACACCTGCACAATTTAAAATATCTGCACTGGGCATCGTATTCTCCTTAAGTTACAAAAAACAACAAATTATAGTGAATATTGTAACCACAATAATAATGCAACTGGCTATACTAAAGGCTAACTACAATACATGTCGTTGATGGCATGGCATTCCAAATGTTACAAAAAAGGCACCTCGATCAATTTAAGTTTGTGATATTAAAAAAATGTACTACAGAATGCCAAACTTATTTCTCTTGATTTTAAAAACTTAGAGAATAACGATTGTCCTTTTACAGTTTTCTTCATGAAACATTTTAATCAGTGAAATAAATAAATCTGCCTGTAGAGTTCCGAACATTTTATCTTTATTTATTTTAGTAATATAATGTTCAACGATATTTAACGAAAAGCTTGACATTGCTAAGGTCGACTTTAACAAACATTATCGAATTTAAAATAAAATTATCGGCTAAATGTAGCATGTGAGATTCCTATCCCAGCGATATACGGGAGCCGTATAGTGTGTGAATTGGCTTTAGGAAAAATTGTTTTCGGCCTAAAGTTAATTGGAGTAAAATCATATTTATCGCGATTGATTTTCTGGGAACGAACAATCAGTTGTAGCTGAAACCGAAAAGGTTTGCCCAACACTTGTTACACCTTCAATAACATACTTAAATTGTTGGAAATAGAACACAACTTCCTTCCTCACTAATCGCTCTCTAGTTTATAGTTATTAAAATTATTAAATTGACTTTATGATCACTCAAATATGTAGTTAAGGATGTAATTACAAAAAGAAATGGAATTCTGTGAAATACTATAGAGCTTATTAACATAATATTGTATATCAGTGCATTTTTTCGTAATTTTTTATCAATGATAATGATAAAAAGAATCAAGCAAGGAGTTTTTGTGTGTTACTCGGTAATAAAACTAGTCAACTAAAACTAGAGCAAGGCACCTATTAAAGTAATGCATACAAAGTCCTTTATACACTTATTGAATGTTTATTGTTTTTTTACACTTGTATTTATAGAGGTTAAATCTGATTATTTATGGCAATGGCAGAGTAAAATATAAACGCAATTTAGCTTGAAACGCAAAAGCATGTCGGCCAGACTCTCGTGATAAAGACTGGCTTTTGCGGTTCCCTAAACCTTCAGAATTAGTGTCATTTCGATAAAATATTAACTGTAATGAAATTTATATACTGTGTGTTTATACAATTAATTATTCTTGTGTAAAATAGGTTTCTGTGCAATATGGAATAGCGTCTAGGTTTTTGTGATTTTGTTGTTTTCCTCATTGTGTCGCCTGTCTGTTGATGTTCCAAGAAAATATGTTCGTCATAAAATCGATTGTAAATAGTCTTTGCATGCGTCAACAGTAAAAGGGTCAGGATGACTTTTGTTTGTGGGGATATTTGGCAACAGCTATAAAAACGAAAAGGGACAATAGACGATCTAAACAACTCATTGTCAGAGAAATTGATTCGATGTATTTGCTATATATTGTGGACACATCACCTGTTCATTATAGTGCCATTTTTTTGTTGTACTTATACTTTGATGTTTTTAAAAATTTTATTTTTGTTAAGTTGACACTCTAGTTCAAAAACTGTATATAATAATGTTTATTTGCAAAGTTTCGACATAATTGTAATGCGTTTTCTCCTGTTACAATCAAGTGTTTGAGTAAATCACTTTTATGGAAAAATAAATTGAAAAAAATATATAACCAAGCCTGGTATTACTTTAACGATCTGTAACAGTGGCGTTGCTTACTGATCATTACCCACATTAATCCCGTCAGGTTGAATATACATTTAAAAAAAAACATTAAGCATATTAAGTCACAATTTGGCAATCCTGTAGTTAACGAATTTGGTAGATGCACAATATTACCAATCTGTGGCTAGTTTATATATATGCAGTAATAAAATTCACATCCCCCAGTTTTTCTATTTTACTGTTGAGTTTAAGGCATGAACTGAATATACTGGGGCAAAAATGAAATAAAATTTTCAAAGATGTTAGCAAGCAGCAAAAATTTAGAGGATATAAAACGGCGAGTTTAGTAGTGGTAGGGTTTTATTTAATTATTGTAACAATGTAACAGCAATAGCAATATTATATAACAAAATAATGTGGTTATTTTAGATACATCAGTTGTTGGGGCTTTAAAATTATCATGAACACATCACTTACGACAGTGGTATTAAAAGTATAGCAGACTATCAGCAGAAATGATATTGTGGCACATGAGTGAAAATCAATTTCTTATAGTGAATACAAAAACTATTACAATTAACTACAGAATAATGTCCACAAATATCCCACAAAAACCCAATGGCCTTGTGTCTACTGGCGTCAATGATAATTGCGATGGAAATATTATGATTCATTTATTTCCACCACTTTTGATGTGCCACCATTATTCAGATTATTTATAGGTTTTGGTCAATATTACTTTGAAAAATGTAGCCGCAAAAGGAAGCCCAATCCACAGTAGTATGAATGCTATAATCTGTCTTCACAGGAGGTGCCTATTGGCCATGCACACTCGACATTTCCAGATCGACTCGGCGTTTAAGTCGGACCTCTTTATGCAGACACACAGTTTACAATTCTTAAGTAGACGCCTCCTCGCCCGCCACTGAGTTGTTAGAAGGGGTCATCACCAGCACCTATACGTGTGTCCTAAAAAAATAATTATAAATTAAAATCCTCATAAGCACCGATGTGAACAAAATTTTATTTTAAAAATAATTTAAAACTAACATAGACCTTCAAGGGACGAATTCTCCATCATCATTGCTGGAACATTAAAATTCGATTAAATTCGAGATAAACAACATTAATTACAGGTACCAGTCCATACGCCATTATAATTTTTTTGAAAATGTTAAAGACCAAAAATAATATTCATAATTTGTGAGCGGAATGTACAAGCAACACGACCTTAGAAGTGATAATGGAATATTTGGCAACAATGCAACCATAGAGGAAGAAATGCTACGATGAACTATGATTAAACCAACTAACAATTGTGTTGTCTATGACCCCCCCTACTACAAACGTTAACGTGCAGGATTATCGATTCTCCAAACACGCTGTTAGCTTCTAGAAAGCGCTGTGTCCAACTCAGTACATTAAATAGAGATGGCCGTATTTGTCCAAATATTCATTTGTTCAAATCGTATGGGAAAACCACAAATGCTATAATGTGCATTTATCCAACTCGGGAAAACCACAAATGCTATAATGTGCATTTGTCCAAATCACCCGAGGCACCGGCGACAAACACCCGAAAGCGGACCAAACATTTATCCAAATAGAGAGTTAAGATACAAGTTCACATACGGTTCAGATAGCAAATTAATTTATAATATGCGGCAAAAATTATTATTCTTTTGTTAATTATCTATATAGGTGGTTTACACTCTCAGTGTACTTACAAACAAAATAAAGTAGACTTTATTGGACATGATATAAAAAACAACAATTAACGCTATTGTTTAAGCTAAAAAAAAAACTTACAACTTCTATTAAACATATTTCAATGAAGGTGTGTAACTATTTTATTGGCACCTAAGGGTTTTTTATTTTACAATTTGACCTTTAGGTCATGGGCGCTGTTTACTAAAAT